TTGTAGCCGCTACAACAACAACAACAACAACGACATACAGACGAGCCATCAACGACATACATAGAGAGTCAGTCACCAACTACCTCGACTCTCGACCCTTGAATGCCGTAATAGGAGCCCAATCACCACCTGTAGAAGAGACGGAGCTTCAATTACCAAGAGAGACCCGCGTTACCCTGGCTCAATTACGGTCTGGATACTGTAGCCGCCTCAACAGCTTCCTGTCCAGACTTGACCACAATATCCCCAATGAGTGCCCGGCATGTGAAGAATCCCCCCCACAACACCAACCACCTTTTTACATGACAGCTCAGCTAACACCCCTCTTCCTCTGGTCCGAACCCATCGAAACAGCTCGTTTCCTGGGCCTCCCGTTAGTTGAGCTTGACGAAAATGATTGAACGTAGACCCGAAAAGGCGGGGCTTAGTAGTACCGCTACAACAACAACAACAACAACAGGACATCTGCGCAAGCTGGTAATGTGGTCGACCGTCCTTTGTCGTGTGCGACTCAGCTGACGAGACACCATCCCACTCACACTTGGAGTGGATGCCGTACCGAGGCGACGAATGAACAGCATAGGCTCAATGTGAGCAGCCATACATTCCTTACCTCTAAATCCTTGCGATTAACAGATGTGTTGCGATGAGAGGAGGGCACAATAGACCCACTAGGTCGCGCTGCATACCTCTTTCAAATATCTATCTATGCCAAACATACTCTACACCTCAGACACCCGAAGTGCTATGGACACACGCTTCCTGGGCCGAAGGTGGGATGGGCCATGAGGGGCATGAGTAAAGCAGCCTGCGCAAGCATAATACTCGGCCACGTTCCTACAACTGCTGTTTCTATTTAATCGATCCGACACAGATTTATATCTGGCCAAGGACTGTCACACCAGCAGTATTCGCAAAAAAATGTTCAGAATTTTTCTTCATACAACAATACTTCGCGGCAAAGCCTTTCCACCACAAAGCTCCTAAACGTAGCAGCTGCAGTTAATCCATTAAAGCTCCCTTTTCTCTACCATGACCCAAGCTTCCACACGGGATTGTGGCCATACTCCGCATATGGGTTGACAAAGTTTCGATCCTGCGGAAAAAAAATTATCAATTCATAAAAAATAGCCCACTTGTAGTTAGCTTATTTGCGGGATTTCTACAAAATATATTAGCTATAAAAAGCTAACTTGAAACTAGTTGATAAGTAATGCAGGAGATTTGTTTTCTTTATATTTAAATTTTTTTATTTTAATATCCTGCACTTCGCAAATACTTTTTCGAATTCAGGACAAATAAAAGGAAGATCGAAATTTCATATCATTTTGAAGTTATGTTTGACGGAGTTCGAATATAAAAAAATAATTTAAAAAAAATTATTTTGTTTTTCCTGTAGATATTTTATGTACAAAAGTAGTTAGTTACATCTAATGCAGAGGTAACCACCCTTGACTATTCCGCGGCCATCGCCATAGAAATATATAGTTACCTTTCAGCAAAGAAAATATAGATAATAGTGACCTTTAGCTCCTTCCTAATCAACTTAAAGTTAGCTTATAGTTAGATACAGTTCCCGCAGGGAAAGAACACGAACGTGGACACAAAAGTAGGAATGGAACCCAGCGTTGGCCATTTGTAGAACAGCAAAATTTTCAAATCAACTAATTCTGTAAATCAACTAAAATACAAACTCATTCGCGGGCGGGTATTTAGATATACATTCATATGTATGTATTTTACCATAAATTGCCTATTGTCGTGATAAAGATAACTGTCTAGTACAGAATATACATTGATATGGTCGAATTGATAAAATTTTCAATAACATATACCGGTTGTTTTTTATATAATTTTCGCCATACTTAAAACATATAAGTACATGTTGAAACATCTCAACTTCAATTTTAATCGAGAGTTCGCTGCATTTGCGTCACTCGGGCAGACGAATTATTGCAGTCTAGGAAAATAAGCATTTTAGAACTTAAGGTTTCCTAATTTTGGTGAAACGTTTTTCGTATTTGCCGGAGCCTTTTTATTTTTCTTGATAGGTGTATTGTTAGCTGCGGCCTTCGGCTTCTTTACCACCATGTCCTTGTGCAGTTCCTTCAAGTTTGCATCGACTTTCTCCCGCTTATTTTTAACCACTTCCTTAATCTGAAAGTCGATATGATGATAGTAGGTTTTTACCATAATTAAAATGTATTTACCTTTTTCAATTTTCCCTGAACTTCTTTGGGTTTCTTCTTATTTTTAGCATCATTTACTTTGAATATATTCTTATCCTTTTTAGACTTGTTGATGGCACCCTTAGCAGATGCGGCACCCTTTTTACCAGCTGCAGTTTTCGATTTACGTCCCATAACTATTTACTGGAATTTAAAAACAAAAATAAAAAAAATATGTATTATATTATCACATAATATTATTAATATGAAAAGCCTCAGGGTATACATAAATAAATAAAAAGCAACAGTTTAACTTTGTTCAACAATTTATTGAGTTATCAATTTTTAAGATTATGAATTGCATTTGACTTTATTTGCAACAAGTGGTTCTTCCTCGTGTGCCTCTGATGCGCTCCTTTTTTTCGCTGTTGGGGTTTCCGCCGCAGGCTCAGTAGGATTCTTCACAAAAGGTGTTATCAAAATTTCTTTAGTTAAACGAAATGCAACTCGATACATATCCTTATTTGGTGCAACATTCCGCACAAAATATATGCCCTCTAAATTGTCTTTCAACGGCAAACCCAAATTCTTCTCCACTAAATTGCGCACTAGCGTCTTCGTATCTTCGCCCTTTGCGAAAGAGTAAACATGCACAGTAGGGTAGCTCAATTCATTAGCAGGAAAATTCTTTTGCTCGTCTACGTTTAAAAAACCACGAAAGACATCCAGAAATTCTACCGCCATAGCCGGTAGATTCATAGTAATGTGTATTTGATTCGTCATTAGCTTATCAGCTGTCGAATTTTTCCAGCGTTCAAGTAAATCTACTTTAACATCATCCAGTAAAAATTGCCGCCCATCTTTATTGAATGTTTTCATATGAGTTAAACATTTGTTGCGCTTGGCATTGTGTTGCAGCCATTTATAACTCTCTGGATTCAAGTCATTTGCAAGAACCCAACATTTTTTACGTGCTGCTGGCACACTAAATGGCCCTACACCAGCGAAGACATCGTACAGAACATCGTTCGCGTTAAGCATTTTTGTAATTCTTTCATGTTCCGTAGATAAGCGAGGGTTCCAGTACACGCGGGAGAAATCAAATTCAAAGACCACTCCATTCTCTTTGGTCTCTACCTGATATTCAGGTTCACCACAAATAAGTTCCAACTGAAAGTTTCGGTAGGTATTGTCAATTGTTGCCGCCTTAATTACCACTGTGCGGCAGCCGGGCACTTTGTCTAGCAAAACCTCACCAACCAGTTTTTTGTAAGGCAGCAAATGATCTCTTAAGTTTAAGTGCACAATATGTCCTATGCGCGAATACGATGTGACACCTTCCTCATCAGTTGGCAAAACGCTTTTGAATATCTCATCTGCGCGCCAATTATCGTAGCCTAGTTCTAATTCATCATAGTAGAAATTATTGGGTCCGACTTTGAATTTCATTAGCTCAGCAGTGGGTAAACAATCCCATGACTTAACTGCTGATGGATGAAGTAGTATCTCACGCATGGAGGACGATTCTCCTCCAGCGCCCGCACAGGGTACTGCACGTACCGGACGTAGCTTCTCCATTTTCAAAAGCAGCTTTTTCAACAATGGCAATACTTTATTTGAATCCGGCCCTGGTACTCGCAAACGTGGTAGTTCCACACGTTTTTTAAACGAATCACGATTTAGTTCGAGCATACCACGAACAGACGCAGGGGGTTCCAAAAGAGAGCATCCCATATTTTTCCAGTAGTGGCGCTGTCTTCTAAGTTGCTGCAAAAAATCTTGAACCAAGGTGAGACGACGCAGCAAAACCATTTATTGAATTTTACTCATATACTCAACAAGATGAAGTACGAGTTATTTTTTTACATAAAAACTTTAGTTAATTTAATTTATAAATTAAATGCTTTTTCTAGTACAAAAAGTTTACCTTTTCTCAGCGCTGCGAACTGTCAAAACCAATTACATATGCGATGCTTCTTCTTCAATGCAAGAAGTTCACAATAGTGAGAAGAGAAAAGCCAGTCAATAACGTAAGAACTGGGAACAGTTGTGCATTAACGATTCATGTTATGTGGGTATCCAAATCCTCCTTAAAAACATTCCCTTTGTAAAAATATCTCCAGTTTATTTAAAAAAGAATAAAGGCTGCACAGGCAAGCGTTTCCTCCTTCCTTACGTATGTTTATAATTACAACACTTTTACGAAAAAGGTTAAAAGTTTAGAAATCTGCCGTGTTCTTTTGACCAAAGCAAACGTTACCAACTTATGTAATGTTACGTTCTCTGCTCTTGTAACGGTACAAACGAGAATCGACTGTGTCTAAAAAAACATACAAATTTTGCATTTCTTCGTTCATTTATTTGAATTTTAGCGTAAACTAATAACATCTGCCAACAAAATGATAAAATGTTCTTTTAGATGTAACTTTATTTTTATGTTAGAAAATAAATGCTTATTTTGTGTTAAGCTTTGCGTGATAATTCGAGTCATTCAAAATATAAAAACGTAACAAAACCTTAAATTAATTCACAAAACGAAAAAAACAATAACATATAACAATTAAAAATTATATAGCTCGGATTATTAAAATACGTACATACATATGTATATTTGGTGGCTGCACAAAATTCAGTAGCGCCTTGCTGTGGTTGGACGAGGCACGCCAGAAGTGCGGGGGCGCGCAGATTTTGCACGCACCGGATTTGCCACACCATCTGTATTGTAGCTAAGATAAACATGTGAGAGATCGATAAATTCCTGCTTATTGGTTGTTTCCTGCGGCTCAGCGATGTGTTTGCGCATATTGTTACCAGTGTAGGCAACGCATTTCAACTGCCACTCGCCGATGTCTTCATTCCAGTGAGTATACTGATTTATCATTGACTGGTACTCCTTGGGTATGTAAGAATTAAGCACCAATTCACATAGAGCCAATTCGCGTGATAGAGCTGCGTATATTTTCATAAATTCCTTCCTTCTCGCGCTGATGCTCCTGCTGTTGATCGGCTAATTCGGATTTAACGCCCATTAGCATTTGCATTACTCGATGAATTTTCTTTGTTATGCCGGTGCTTGCTTCTTGCAGTGACGAGTATCGTTCTTCAATATCTATGCGCTCAGTTTCTTTTTGCTGCAATGTCTGACGCAGCGTTTCCTCAGTCTTTTCACGTTCTTCTAATTCGGCCAAGGATTGCTCAAGTAATTTCTCCTGGGTTTGCGCCTTCTCAAGCAAGTTTTCTCCACCAACTAATATTTTGCCTTCAAGTGACATCAGTTTATTGCGCAATTGTTCTTGCTCAGACTTCGCATGTTCAATTTCGCGTTGATGTTCCCGTGCCTGTCGCTCTTTTTCCTCCTTTTCAGCATCGCTCTTCTCGCGTTTTTTCGATTTTTTGCCATTGATTGTGGGGGTTTCCTCAATTTCTATTTCAATGTCGCCCTCATCCTCATCAGCATCTTCATCATCTTCCTCAGATATTGGATCTTCGTGATTGCTCTCTTCCAGCTGTTTACGTAAACGTGCTATTTCCTCCTGGAAATGACGCAACAGCGCATCCTTTGGTTCCTCATTAACACGCATACGGTTCTGTATATTCTTGGCGCGACTAGCGTATCGCAGCGTAGAAATGGTTTCCATATAATTAGTGTCTGCTGGACTAATTGTGGCGCACATCACCGTTTTCGAATTGCCACCTAGTGAGTCTTGCAGCAAACGTGTCAGCTTTGAGTTACGATAGGGTATATGGGTGCTTTTTCCGTCCACCAAAGCACTTATTACGTTACCCAATACAGAAAGTGATAAGTTAATTTTGGTTGCTTCTTTCAAGCGTTGCCCACTTGCCTGTGTCTTACTCTGCCTCTCCGAGCCCGCCAAGTCCACTAGCTGCAGCTTACCCATTCGTACATTTGTCATGTCACCCTGACTCAGCTCGCTACTCTCTACTGTAATCGAGAAAATGGCATGTGAACGCGATGATTCTTGATTCATTTTTGTAGCACCAACAGCACGATTTTTGTTGCCCAAACGCATAATATTTTCGAGATCATCTGCATTATGCACAACATAGCCACTTAGATCTTTCACGAATACGCCAATATCGGGTCGTTCTTTTACTTCCAGACTTTTGCTAACATCTTTGCCCAGCAAGTCACGTACTTCTTCATTGTATATCTCCATATAGCTCACACGTACCAAAAATTTCTGATTTTCTCGAGCTTTAGCAATGTGTCCAAAGATGTGCGCAAATGCATTGGGTATAATGCCTTTCGTTTGTGGTGAATCGGGATTGCCCGACATGGTGTAGGTTTTGCCTGTACCTGTTTGTCCATAAGCAAAGATGGTACCATTGTATCCCTCCAGCACCTTTTCAACTATAGGACGTGCAGTATCAACATATAAATCGAGTTGATTGGAGTCGCTACTGAAAACATTGTCGAAGTAGTATGTTTTTGGCGGCTCATTGGATGTTGCGTTGGGTTTTACGGCTGTGATGGCTCGATTGATTTTATCCACTTGTATAACATTAACAGCACCACAGTTAATTTCAGATTTCTCCATTGGCCGGACACGCACTACAACTCGAACATTTTCAATTTCATCGCCCTCCAATCCGACGTTGGGTATTTGTGTTTCTTGTGGCATTTTTTCGTGCGTTGGTTTTATGATTAACAAAAACTTTATTTAATTTGTTAGGTTACAAAAAACTGCGGAGTTTTGTTTCCCCAATTTGCGTTGCCATGAACAGTTTATTGATTTTCTCAGCAGCATTGTGTACAAATACAAGTGAGATATCTTAGCAATAGACGTCATCCTGGGCCACAGCTGCGATCATCTGTTTTTTAGAGTTGCTTATTTTGGTCTAAAGTGCGCTTTTTTGACCTGAGTTGCATTAAATAGTCTCTTAAAACTTGGTAGTATTAGTTGTTCAAATGGTAACATATATGCCCAAAAACTTGAAAAATATTAGATGATTGCTTTTTAAAAATGCTATTTATAAAATTTGGTTTTGATTGCGACATTAGAAATATTCAGATTATAAAAGTTTTTCACATATGTTTTAAGATTTTAAAGCTTTTAAAATGTACGGTAGAATGCAACAATGTGCTTGAATTTGTTTGCTTCTTCGTCAGCTTATTCGTTTGCAGACTAGAAAAATGGCGAACAGCCATCAAAATACACACAAATGGGTGCGCGCAGCAAAATTCAGCCCTAATGGTAAGTTCATTTCATCGTGCGGCGACAAGTTAAGAATTTGCGATACATTTTCAGGCGAATGTATGCGAACGTTCACCGGGGGAAGAGGTATGGGACGACAGCTGGCATGGCATCCAGACGTCAATCTGGTGGCTTTAGCATTAAGTTGTAACCGCGTTAAGATATTTGACAAAGCTGAAGGCGAGCTAATACAGTGCATTCGTCGCCGGAGAATGATGTTGCATTTCACCCAAGTGGAAATTTCTTGGTGACTGGCGGCGATGACGATACAATAAGATTGCTTGATTTATTAGAAGGTCGGCCAATTTATACACGGTAGTAGTGCACTTTAGCGGAACCATATAAAATACATTTTTTCCTGTATTCAACAGTTGCCCGTTTGGAAATCTAATTTGCATACATTTGATGCCAATAGCGCGCAACAAACAAGCCAGTTCTCAAAGAGTCCAAATTGATTTTAGTCATGCAACAGCTCCACATAACTCCGCCATAGACACACCAGTTGCTGGAGTACCAAAAAGCTGTGATGACAGTATTTTAATTGATCCACGACAATCGGTGGCATATGGAATGCGTGATGGAAATTTTCTGGTGCTTGATAGCCAATATACTACAAGAGTGAAACGCTACAAGTGAAACGCTGTGATAGTAATTTTTCTTAAATTTCCATCTTTTATTTGCAGTTACATTAAGAAGCTCATAGAGGACAGAGCGGTTGGTGAGGAAGGTGTCGAGTTACTGCTGTACTGCAACTGGGAAAATCCGCATTTCGCACGTGCTCCACTCGTATGGAATAGTAGCTTATGTCGAAAGGCTGGTTTTAGTATAATGCGGCATTCGCAGCATACCCTCACTGGCGCCGAGCCGTTGAAGAAATTTTGGACAAATAAACGTGCAAGAAATAGTTCCGATACTAGCACGTCCATATTCTTGTTAAGGGTCATCAAAAAATTCCTTGTGTTGTAAATAATAAAGGGAATGCCGGATTATACTAAAGCCAGCTTCCCGACATAAACTACTATTCCATACGAACACAGAAATATAAATGTATCTAAAACTGAATAACTCAAATCAAATTGGATTGCATTTGCATAATATACCTAATATTGGAATCTGTTTTGATCGTAAAAAATACAACTTGCAATCATTTAGATTATAGTTTTGAAAGAAATTGATTGCAATCGTAAATTATGTAAAAATTGTCAATAACAATCTGCCTAAAATTTATTTTCCCCATGTAACGGTTATAAAATACGTTAAATCCGCACTATCTGCATTAACAAAAAATATACATTGGAATATTTAAAATAAACCGATTCATATTTATTTTCTAATAAGAATTGTTTCTTAATTGAAAGTATTTAATACTAATATAATGTAGTGGTTAATGTTTAAAAATGAATTCGCAATATGTCCGCAGCTCAGGTTGATTTGAAGAAATCCGTTTAAATTTTTCGAATTACATCTACTTGAATATAGGATTGGCAGGGTTGCATACAAATGGTAGTTCCGTAAATATTTAAAATATGTTAGTTCATTCAATATTTGCATCTGGGCCAATAAATAATAACAAATAAAGCCGAAAAAAACAAAGTTTCAATTAAAACGAGTTTTTATAACCCCCCATAAAATTCCGATTAATTTTAAATACGAAAATAACGATATTTTTTCATGGAGATTTATTTTTTTAATATACCTTGTTTATACCTACACAAAAACCGGATTAGCAAAAAACCGATTGGACTCAACATATATTTCTTTACAGCATTTATCCCCCTGTCTTTATAGCGCACTCGATAAAGTCTTATTCAAAAGTAAACAAAATTGCTATTTTTAAACGACATTTTTTTAATAAATAATTTGCGCGGTTGACCGAAATGGAAACAAACAATAATTGTAATTTATTATAACAATAATACGAATTTAAAACGGGCTGTATAAAGAAAACCAGCCTATTGTCACTTCACTTTCCAAAGGTGCTGATTGCTGCAAGAATTATTTAGCGATTTAGAGCATAATCAACACAATATATGCACATAAATATGTATTATTTCACAGATCTCAGGGTCAGCTTAGAAATACGTCACCAAAATTATATAAAATTTAAGTAGGAATTATTTTTATTTATAACGTAAAAGCGCTATCTGACCCAATCTGATAAGTATATTTCCCCTAAAGTTAACCCATTTTATTTAATTTGTCTCTCGTGAAAATATATATTTTATTTATAATTTTCAGATATGTACATATATTTTAAATTTTTGCTTTAATTTTTGTCTCCTTTTAATATTTAATTAGATACCTTAAGATTAAAATAAGCTTAAAACGAAACAGCACAGCAACCCTTTTCTGTTCATCTTGAGAACACAAAACCCTCTTTTGTTAAAATTCGGCGCTGCACAAAATCCTGGCTTTTATATTTTCCAACAAAATACCACTTCGCAACCCTGGATTTTCACGAAGCGTTTCATTCGGGTCGTAGTTTGGCTACTTCGGGCCATTCGGTGTTGTATGCCATATTGTTCACACTGTCATCGCCATATTGAACACCCTGTCAACTATCTGTCAACCCTAAGATATCTCACTTGTATTCTTCCACAATGCTCAGCAGCTGACTAATGTTTTTCATTTCGCTTCCCTTTTCACGATATCTGCTCTCAGCAAGATGCACCGTGTGTTCTCAGTACCCTCAAGGTTGCATTGTTTGTATATAAATATATTATTGTTGGGCACCCCATTTCAAAGTGATATTGTTTACCGCTTATGTTTATTTATTTATTTTTTAAGAATTTTTAATTAAAATATAGTTCATTCTCTAACAAAACCCACATAAACCTAAGTTTAACACTTGGTAGAAAACTAAAACGAAAATCAAAAAATTTTCATCAAAATTTAAGTTTTTTCAGAAGTATTTGTCTTTTTGAGTATACAGTTTTATATCCCATTTTGGTTTTTACCGTCGAATTTTTATATATTTTTTGCCGGAGTTTCACGGTTTTATTCCATATAAAAATTAATTTTTTTATTAGTTACATGTAAGCAATTGCGACAAAACAAACATTCTCAAATACAACGGCGATTTTTAACCACTTGAAACTTGCATATTTATTCTTACACTAAAATTTAAACAATAAAAATTGGCTTTAGCTTTTTGGTTCATTTTTGTATAGTTTTTTTTTTCCGAAATTGTTTCTTGGTTTTAAAATGTAGTTTTCTATTGTTTGTGATGAGTAGACTCAATGGGCAATAGAAATGGTAATAGTTAGCATTTTTTTACTTAAATGAAGTGCAAGTTTCAACCGGTTAAAAATCGCGTTGATTTCTTAGAGTTTTTTTTGGAGACTTTTCCGTTTTTATTATTAACAAGTGCAATTTCAAAAAACTGGTGCTGATTTTTTGAAATTTTGTTGCTAACGGTTCCCGCACTATATCATTAGAAATTCATGCTTATATGGAAAAAATGCTAAAATGCGTCACCGAAAAAAAGTTCTCAAAAAGCAACGGGATTTTTTAGCCGTTAGAAAATTTCATTTCATAAAGCTGCATTTAAATGAGGCGATTTTATATGCGATTCAACATTGCTCAAGAAAAATCGCTCGTATAAATTGTAATTCTAAAATCGCTTGCCTTAAAGTACAAAACTGCATACTCGAAAATTTTCTAAACATTTCTAGTGTATGTTAAATTAAAGTATAGAAATTATCACCATTTCTGTATTGCACTAAGTTAATAGTGATTTCAGAATCTTTTTTTTTTATACAGAATGCATTTTTATAAAAATGTATTTTACAATTACGTATGTATATGTATATCGTCGCCCGTATTCTGGTATTCTGGGTTTTGGTATAGCATAGAACATCTAAAGGTTAATCAAGTCAACCCAATAACTCAAAACTGATAAATTTGCACCTTAATGCTTCTGGCAAACAGAATCGACCAGTTATTATTCATATCATCGATTCTAGATTGCCTTTGTTTGATTTTGATTTCCTCAAAATCTTTTTATCATTAATCCCATTTTGATAAAAATTTAATGAATTCACTGTGGGGCTGTCCTTAACCCAACGCAGAAGAAATCGGTTCACGAACAAAAACCAAACATAAAAAAAAAACAAATATACACGACGATTTTGAAGTCGGTTAAAATTAAATATTTTTCGCTGACAAAATTAAAGGGCAATAAAGAAGCGTCCGACTAAAATTAAATGGATAAAATAAAATTTAAGTAGCATTTATAAAGAAGACTGAAAAAATTAAAATTAAAATAAGTTGAAATAAAAAATAAAGTAAAAAAAAATTAATGCACATGGTTCCATCCAGGGTCGAACTGGAGACCTTCTGCGTGTAAAGCAGACGTGATAACCGCTACACTATGGAACCAGTTGGTAGGTCGCCGCCAAAATAGCCATATGAGAATAAAGCAAACGCGGCCAAAGTAATTGCGCTACTAAGCAAGTGTGTGTGAATGTACACAACATAGATGATGAATAAACGGCATTTCGAGTGTCAGTGTGACCAGAATACCATAAAAAAAGAAG